TGTGGTGCTGGGGGATTGAACCGCGGTCCCTGATGCTTTTGCTAAGCTTGTTCTAAGTAGGTGCTTTAGACCACTGAGCCATCTCTCCAGCCCAGGCTTTGGGTTTAATTCCTAGTGCCATACCAGAACAGAACTTGGATATAAAATCCGAAAACTACCAATTAATCTGCTCATTCTGAACCAGGAGTCTTTTTGAACCTTTGTATGTGGTTCTGTTTATCTTTGTTCATGCTTTGAGCTTCATCAGATTTAATTTCTACTTTTACAACCCTGTTTAATTTATGCATCTGTAAAAGTTTTATAGCCTGAAAGTACCTAAAGAAACTTGGCAATTGACTTGCTACTAGATACAAAAGTATAGTCATATGTGAACGGCAGTAGGGTGTGGTAGTTTAATTCACATTTCCTGTTTAAAACTGATTCTTGTCCCAGCATGTACATTAGAATTTCCTGGAGTCTTTAAAAAATGCAGGTGGCCAGACCCCCCAAAAAGGAGGCCCCAGCACTGGGCTTTAGAAAGTGCCCCATACAGGCTCTGCTGCTGTGTGGCCGGAATTACGAGGCCGGGTTCTGTTTGGGCGGCTCAAAGCTGATTCTAGCATGGGGCAGCTGACTGCTGTTCCAGAAAGCTAAGTTTGATGAGCTTAATTGGAAGTTTCAAAGGATGAAATACATACACCGGTCAGACACAAGGTAATTTTACTTTTAAATTGTAATGGTTACAGTTGATTAATGTGCTTTAGAAAATAAATACAAATAACCACATCAGACTTACAGAGGCTTGCCTACTAGCTTGGATGAAGAAGAGGGCCAATGTGAAGAAAATTTGCTGGATCATAGCGTGTCAAGTGACTAGGCAGTGTGCAGACAGGGCAGAAGTCACGAAGCATAGTGGTGACCACGGTGAAGGTGCCTTCTCAGGGGTAGGGTCAGGACCCAAAGTATTAGTGGTTTTTTCCTCCCAAATATAATGTCAGTGAGCTAATTCTTACGGTTTTTTTTTTTTTCATTTGAAGGGACATATTTTGAGAATTAGAATTTCTGCATTACCTTTACATTTCTTGACACTTTGTGATCTTGTAAAATGTGCTTTTTAGATCAAAATATTTTACGCTTTTGCAGTGTACTGCATAAGTGGTTGTAAGAAAAGGAAGGACAGTGTGTGTTTTGTGTGAAATAGAGAAAGGAGAGGTGGGTGGGCGGGTGGGTGGCTAGTGAGAGGGGCTGAGGGACAGGTGAGTAGGCCACCTGGACACCTGCGGAGAGAACAGTGCTTCCCCCTCACTGGCACTCCTTGTTCTCTGCAAACCCTCAGCAAGTCTGTAGGTCTGCCGCACTCAGGAGTTTGGAAAACGCAAAACACTGTTCTCTCTCTCTAGTAAAGTGAATTGCTCTAGATGAGCTCCATGTGAAGACATTTAGCCATCCTGTACAACAGACCTCTGAGGTGGTAAGAGGTTTGGAGAGACAGATTAGTTTTTGCTACAAATAACAGTTTGCTATTTTATCAGTAATGTATATGTGCTTCAGTTAGAGAGGCATTAATCTAAGCAAAAGTAGCCATGCAGTTCACCCTTGCATTATATTGCTGGAAGTTAAAAACACTGTGATACACTGCTGATGCTGTGTTGTGTAATTTTGAAGGATGGAAGCTTCTTGCCTGGAGCTGGCCTTGGAAGGGGAGCGACTGTGTAAATCAGGAGACTGCCGTGCTGGAGTGTCATTCTTTGAAGCAGCAGTGCAAGTTGGAACCGAAGACCTAAAAACACTTAGCGCTATTTACAGCCAGTTGGGCAATGCTTATTTCTATTTACATGACTATGCCAAAGCATTAGAATACCACCATCATGATTTAACTCTTGCAAGGTAATCAGTGTAAGCTTTTTAATATTCTTCCTCCCTGAACTATTACTTTAAAAAGTACTTCCATTCAGTTAAGAAAACTAAATATATTTAATGAAGTCTAATTTAATAGCATTGCTTTGAAAATGAGCCTTTAGGCTAAACACAGTTTAGCTGAATGAATAGAGGTGACATGACTAGAGTTTAAATGAATGAAAATTAATTTAAATGCATGCATGTTAAGGTTCATATTTTTATTTAAAGTGTGTTTCAGGGCTAATGGGTGTCTCCTACTGCAAGCTTATCAGTTGTCCTCTAGGAGAACTACACTCTGGCTGCTTGTTTTTTTTTTTTAACTTCGAAGAAACTTTTTTTTTTCCATAATTTTCTTGAGAAATAAATAGCAATGAGACAGTTTCAAATCAAATTGGTAGGACAATTCCAATAATTAACACATTGCGTACTGTCTTCCTAGTGGTGACTGTGGCTGCTTTCTATGTTAATGCCATTTGTATTTTTAATACCTTCTGCTTTTCCCCACCAGGACTATTGGAGACCAGCTGGGAGAGGCCAAAGCTAGCGGTAATCTGGGAAACACCTTAAAAGTTCTTGGGAATTTTGATGAAGCCATAGTTTGTTGTCAGCGACACCTAGATATTTCTAGACAGCTCAATGACAAGGTAATAAGGAATCATTAGCTATTAGGTCAAATGCCAAATTTCAATGAAATTGCTTTGTACTACTATATTTATTCTGTAGTTTTTCTAAAACAGAAAATGTTCATAGACAAATAGTAAAAGGTAAAACATAATACATTTACAATAGAGAAAAAATAGTGAGATCTTTCTTTCTCAAGTAACAATTTGCTTGGTTCTGCACAGATGGCCCATTGTAGAAATTTCTCTCTCCTAAGCTGGGCATGGTAACAGATAATAATCCCAGCACTCTGGGAGTCCGAGGCAGGAGGGCCACAAGTCAGCTCCCACCTTAGCAATTTAGCAAGACCCTATCTAAAGCTAAAACGGGCGGGGAATATAGCTCAGCAGGAGGGACCTGGGTTCGGTAACAAATACTGCAAAAATAAAAGCCCTTTCTCTTGATAATAACAAGTGTGTATGTGTGTGTGTGTGTGTGTGTGTGTGTGTGTGTGTGTGTGTGTGTGAGAGAGAGAGAGAGAGAGACAGAGACAGAGAGAGAGAGAGACAGAGACAGACAGACAAAGGCAGGCAGGCATGCAGGCAGGCACACACACAGACAGCAGTATAAATACCTCGTCTGAGATTTCAAAATGTAAGCTTTGCTGCTATCTTCATCTAGGTGGGAGAAGCAAGAGCACTTTACAATCTTGGAAATGTGTATCATGCCAAAGGGAAAAGTTTTGGCTGCCCTGGGCCCCAGGATGTTGGGGAATTTCCAGAAGAAGTGAGAAATGCTCTGCAGGCTGCAGTGGATTTTTATGAGTGAGTAAGGCTTGATATAACCCTATAGGCCCACCTGAACTATGGGGAAATATGTTTTCTTTAACCAGCAGTAAGTTTTTAAGTTTGTGAAAGGTTTTAAAATTAAGGAGTAACAAAAATAACCTGTCAGTTGCTTAAATGTTGCAGTGGTGTGTTGGTTATAACCTGCAGTTTGCATTTAAAGTGCAGACCAGTGCCCCCTAGTGGCAGAAACCAGAAATGTCAGAGGTCGTCTGTTTATGTGGAGTCGGTTGTCTTTGCCCAATAAAAGGTCATAAAACCTTTAACAATAGGGGTTCCTAATGAACCATCTTTCACTGTGCACAAAAACCTACCAGAATAGTTCAGACAAATATTCTTGATGCTGTCCTGTAACCATCTCCATCGTAGACATACCATAAAAATGCATACATTGGTGTAAGCGTGCTTGAAGTTTTTTTTTCTGATATAATGAATTAAATCTACAGGTAGAGTTTATTTCAGTGGGGGAGTGGTTATCTGGTATATAAAAAGCTCTGGTTTAATCTCGAACACTGAAAAGAAAAAAGATTATAAATCAACCTAAATTTTTTACCAAACTTTTTTCACCATTTTTTGTTTCACTTAGGGAAAATCTATCATTAGTAACAGCTTTGGGAGACCGAGCGGCCCAAGGACGAGCCTTTGGAAATCTTGGTAACACACATTACCTTCTTGGCAGCTTCAGAGAGGCGGTTATAGCTCATGAGCAGGTACGAGTGGAAGGCCTTTGAGCCAGACCAGTTCTGAGCAGTGGCCACATTAATCCAGTGTTGTTACAGGATACGCCTGATAAGATATTTCTGTTTCAGCGTCTCCTTATTGCAAAAGAATTTGGCGATAAAGCGGCTGAAAGAAGAGCATACAGCAACCTTGGAAATGCATATGTATTTCTTGGTGAATTTGAGACTGCTTCTGAATACTACAAGTTAGTCTACTATTTCTGTGTATAAATGCAAAACGAGTAGTTGTATATTCCCACTAAGTCACGTGCTTTAAGTGTAAGCCTGGTTTTTGATGCACACTAGCAGCAGGACCCTGGACTTTTAAGCCTTAGTTTCCTCTCCTGGAAGCGAAGAGAACAATATCTTGATTCAGGAATTGTAGCAAAGGTCGAGTGAAAGAATAAGCTGAGCACTTCACATCATCCCTGGCGCACCCTGCTCAGCCAGTATTGTACCTAAATATCCCATCTAAGATTTAATAGCAACAGGATGACCACACTGATCTTGTTAGTTTTTTTAATCTTTAAAATTAACCTTTCTTTGGGCCATGGAGATAGTTCAGTGGCATAAGTGTCTGCCTAGCAAGTGCAAGATCCCAAGTTCAATTCCCAGTTCTGCAAAAAACAAAGTAAATAAATAAATAAAATTAACTCTTCTTAGCTTGGCATATTGGTGCACCCCTGTAATTCTAGCAGTTGGGACATTATCGCAGGCGATCAAGGCCAGCCTAGGCTGCATAGCATGACCCTATCTCAAATAAATAAATAATGAATTTAATTTAATTTATATATTTATTTTGGCAGAACCAGGGATTGAACTCAGGCCCTTGCGCTTGCCAGGGAAGCACTTATTCTACTGAGCTATCTCCCCAGCCTTCCAAATAATGAATTTTAAACTTTTAAAAAGTCTTTTAAACTTACGCAGTGTATATATATAAATTTTACTCACCCATTTCTGGGTCAGAAGAAAAACCAGAAAGCCAGGCAATAAAAATAGGCCCTCACCTCCACCACTGATCCCTGTTTTTCCTCTACCCACTTAGCAATTCCCCCTCCCCACTTCTTTCTGCCCTATTTTGGCTCTGTCAGCAGAGGGCTGTTATTCTCTGTGTGGTTGACAGTCCCACTTTCTTTTGTGGTAGGGTTTTTCTAGTAGTCCATCCAGGATTGGGGAGATAGCTCAGTGGCTTAAGCACCTGCCTTGCAAGCTCAAGGTCCTGAGTTCAAGCCCTGGTACCTCCCTACACCCCCAAAAAACCCACAACTTTAGTCCATCCAGAAAATCAAATAGCATCCCATCTTGCTTTAAATACTGACTAGTAATTAATATGTGCTAGTTGATTAGATATATCTTCCCAGGTAAAATATGTCCCTATGCAAGTATAGTGTATATTTTGATTTTCAGTACATATGTCATATATTTTAAAAATGTCATATATTTTAAAGCTGAAGAATATAGCAAATTATTAAGTGGTGTACCTGAGTTAAATACTGATAAATTCTATTATAAAGTGGATGGTGACTGACTGAAAAAGCATGTATAGTGAATCCTGTCTTTTCTCCCAGTAAGCAGGGTAGAATTCAGAATTTATATATATTCCAAAAATACTGGTTAGTAATATTTTTGGAACTCTCCCTAGGAATTGTTTCCAGGCCTATACAAGAAGACTGGCCTAATTAGATCCAAGTCCTTCAGGATACAACAGCTGTCTGGCAAACCTTCAGCAGTCATTGAATTTGGTGACAGATTTCTGACAGTGTATAAAGCAGCTACACAATCAGAATGTAACAGTGTGCCAGAAAGGGTTGTGCCACAGAATCTGAAGGAGATTCCCAAAGTCAAGAACTGTTTGGAAGGGCAGGTAACATCAGGATAAGTGAAGCTCCTCATGAGGGATGGCTTTGAGAGGCTCATGAAATTCATAACTATATTTGGTTTCTTGAAAAGATGAATCACATTACCATATAATTTTTCATGTAGACATAATGATATGTAGTTATTATATAACTTGGCAGAGATTACTGAAAAAAAATCACTTAAATTATTGGATCTAAAAGCATATCAGGTTTAAGTACTCAAAAAAATAGGGCTGAGGAGTTAGCACAATAGAATAAGCACTTGCCTGGCAAACGCAAAGTCCTGAATTCAATCCCCAGTACTGCAAAAAAAAAAGAGAGAAAAGTACTCACACAATAGCGTGACTACTATATAGCACCTGTTCTGCTCAAGATGGTAGTCTAAGTACTTCACACATCTGTGGACACATTCATATATGTCTGACTTCATTCCATCTTTGCAGAGGTGTGGTAAGATATTTACCATTGTTTATTTATTTTTTTGTATTTTAGGGAAGGGTGTTATTTATCATTGTATAGGTGAGGAATCTGGTACACAGACAGGTTGAGTGATTTGCCCAGGTCACACAGCTGGCAAAGGTGGGCTTTGAACCCAGAAGTGTAACTCCAGGACCCGTGCTCTTACCTGTTACATGAACTTCTTGGTGACAGTACCATATCAGCTGGGTAGAATTTCATCAGTAGTTAGTATATGTGCTGCTGACGTGAGCACTCATCAATCAGTATTTTAAGAATCAGTGACTAATGGTCTACCCATAAAAACATATATATTTTAAATTTTAACAAGATGAAAGGTAACAGCATGATTGAAAACAAACGTGATGGGAACAGAGTTTTTTTTTAAGTCAGTATCAATACAAAAGTGAGATATTTTCAAGTGTTATAAATCGTGTTATTCTTTCAAAGCTCTTGATCTCCTATTCCAGTATTCCAGTAAATCCCAGCACTCAGGAGGCTGAGGCAGGAGGATTGTTGCAAGTTGGAGACCAGCCTGGGCTAGAAAGTGAGCTCAAGGCCAGCCTGAGCTGCATAGTGAGACCCTGTCTCAAAAAGACAAAAAAAAAACCCAACACTGAAAGTCCAGATCTGGATTTTGTATTTCAGAAACAACATTCAGTTTAAAAGTAATAGTAAAAGATATTTGACTGTAAGAGAGATAAGGCAGCTGAGAGGAGAATGATAGTTTTTTTTTTTGTTTTTTTTTTATCATTATCATAGCCTAAATTAAAAACAATTGTGAAAATTTTGCCTTTTAGGAAGACACTTCTGCTGGCACGACAGCTTAAAGACAGAGCTGTGGAAGCTCAGTCTTGCTACAGTCTTGGGAACACGTACACTTTACTCCAAGACTATGAGAAGGCCATCGATTATCACCTGAAGCACCTAGCAATTGCTCAGGAATTAAAGGACAGGTAAGTTATGCATCCTTCAACTCTAGGCAAAGTAAAGGATCGGTGCTTACTTACATCCCAAGAGCTTTTCCTTTGACACTTCCCTCTTCATGAGTATTCCCCGTGTGCTACTGTTGGAAGGTGGGTCTGTGGTAGTCACTGTTTCCAACACCCCTGAGCCAGGATCAGTGCCTGTGTCACAGACTCAGCTCTCCTGAGCAGTGCTCCTGCCGAGGTCAGTGTGGGATGGCGGTGAGCCTAGAATTCATCGTCAGGGAGCAGCTGCTGCTCAGCTCTAGCTGATTATTGCCAGGCAGGAGCAAGGTCTGTTACAAACAAGTCCTCCTTTTTTTTTCTCCAAAAGAAGCTACAACTCTTGTGCTGTATATGAAATCTCCTGGTTTTTAAGTGTTAGTGAGTACTTCCTTTGTTTGGTTTTGTCCTGCTGTATGAAAAAACAATACATTTGTGCTGGCCAGCCTGTTGTTTTGCTGTAGATCGATTTTTACATCAGCATGAGAAAGAACTTCCCAGTATACTTGTTCAGGAGGAAGTACACTACCTCAACAGGTCGTGCAGGGTTTGCTCCCTAGTACTCAGATGAACACTGAATGACTAGAAGGTAAAGTTGTTCTAGGAAGATAATACGGGAATTAGATTAGAAGACCTATCCCCAAGATTTTATTTTATAGTGGATTGCCCATTTTAAAAGAATGTTTTTCCTGTTGTAATACTTGACTCTGACTCTTGAGTCTAGAATTATCTATGAGTATTTTCATAGCTCTGTCTAGCTCTCTTATGATAGTAAAGTAAAAGCCCTCATAATACCAAAGCACTGTTTAATCAGTGATCAAACCTTTTAGAGCTTTCACTGATAACAGCCTGCTGCAGCGTAAGTGCTGTGGGCTCACCACCACTGGTTTATACATTTAATCATTGCTGGATCGGTTTTATTTTCTATATACCTTTTTTCAGATAACTGCATGTTAGTTTTGAATTATGTTTTAGAATTGGTGAAGGAAGAGCCTGTTGGAGCTTAGGAAATGCATACACAGCTCTAGGAAATCATGACCAAGCAATGCATTTTGCTGAAAAGCACTTGGAAATTTCAAGAGAGGTATGCAATGGAAAAATGTTATCTGTGCTATTGTAATTTACAAATCAGTGGTGGGGAAGAACCCTATTATTTCTTCTTGCTGTGTGGCTCAATAATGTTTGATGTTTGTATTGTTTTTTCTTGGCATCCAAAACATATTTTGAGGTACAGATCAGAGATCAACATACACTTATGTTGGCCTTGACATAAGTTGAGAAGGTAAGGCCAGGCACATGGGAATAGGAGGACATTACTAAAATATGTCCCTTTTCTACCTCCATCAATGCATAGAGAATTAGCATGTTACTTAAGACAGCCCTGCACAACCATATCTGTTAATCTGAGCACCAAGTTTGACGGTAAAAATAGGTAACCATTGTTAATTAGCTATTCTTGCTTTGAAATCTGTAAGCTATGTGTTGTATGTTACCCTGTTTCTATCTTTGTTTCTTCTATTTGTTTCTATTCTTTAAAATAAAATGAAGAAGGAGTAACAATTTTTAGAATCACATCCTGGTCCCTGTTATACTTCTGTGCTACATCGTGGCTATTTGGATTTATAAACCTTTTTTGAGCCTCGTTGTTCTTGTCTGGAAGATGAGACTAATAGTATCCACCTTGCCGGTTATTCTGCAACCTCAGCTAGTATATACAGAAGTGCCTGCCTTAATATGTAGTGCTGGTTTAATAAATGTCACTTGCAGTGTAGAAATCAAATGTTTCTGGAAAATTGGTTCATGTGATACCACATTCATAGTTGATATGTCACAGTTGATTTGTCTACATTATTTAATATAATCCCAGAGAATAAGAGCATTCTAACAATATGGAGAACTGAAGAATTAAAAGAATATAATTAACTATTCTATTGTGATATTTTAGAAAGTCGACCTATTTTTGTGTTCTTAAAAAAAACTATTAATGAGAATAACCAATTTCATTCACTCATAGTCTCTTAATTCTCATATACCTATTTTCATTTTCCTATATTGCCTTCCAGCTTTAGAGTTACAACATTTTCAACTAATCTTCGTCATTCCGTATCTTTAAATACTACTCTAAAATATAAATACTTGTGGTTGTAGGTTGGGGATAAAAGTGGTGAACTGGCAGCACGGTTGAATCTCTCAGATCTTCAAATGGTTCTTGGTTTGAGCTACAGCACAAATAATTCCATAATGTCTGAAAATATTGAAATTGATAACAGTATACATGGTGAGTAACAGGTCTTCTAAAATCCAGTTTGTTTGCTCTCACAATTTACATTTAAATTACTGATCATGTTATCTACCATCTCCAGAGAATATGATCTAAGTTCAATTGTTTATACCTTTTTATTTTACGTAGTTCTATTAAGTTGTTGATAAAGAATGCAGTATAGTTTTTATCATGAATTTAAGAATGGTGAGTGTATTTCATTTTGTTAACAATACATGTAAATACTGTACTAAGCTCATTTAAGAATCTATAAATATGAAGATAACCCAGACTAAAACAGTCTTTCATTTTATCCTTTTATTTCACATAATTTTATATATCAGAGTTTTGTTTAGCTTTCCCCTGCTCATTTCATTTCTAAGGTGAAGTCTCTTTTTTTTTTAATTCAGAAAGCCCAAAAAGCTTTCTTCTTTATTGTTTGCAGTTGCTTTGGTGGCAAAGCCAATTTTTAGGAAACTTTCTTGAGGGTTGATTGGGCTTGACATTGCTCCAGGGAGAAAGATGTCATAATATGTCTAAGTGAGGGGGAAAGAGCTACTTTTGATTAAAAACAAAAAGGGGCAAAACTAGGGTAACATTTCTTAATCATATCTCTATGTGACTTTGAAATACATTTAAAAACTCTAGCTTGAAAAATGCTCAGCCTGAAAAAGTTACTGATAAAGGCAGATATTTTGGACTTGAAAGTCAGGGAAAAATCTAGCTTTTAGTCTTCTAAACTCCTTCTTTAAACTCATCTGGAGAAAAGAAAGAAGAAAAAGAAATTATTAGCTAGTCATCCAAGTCAGACTTTCAAAGAATTTTTGGTGAAAAATTCTAAAGTGTGAGCTGTAGAAAAGATTGAGGCTGTGCTTTATAACTGGACAGTGGGCTACATGGTTTCCTGTGTTTGCTTCTAAAAACCTCTCATCTATAAGCTCTTCACTGGCCCGCTGGACTCCTCCAGCTGTGGACCCCTTCCTTGTGCAACACAGCGTTGCGTCCTCCTCAGCACACTGTGGCCCTGAGTGACCTCCCAAGGTCTCCATCTTACTGATCATGCCGCCTCACAGCCCTCCTGGATTACGCTACTTTTCTAGTTTGCTTCTTGTAGTCTTTACTCTCTCCTTCTCTTTTTTATCTTTCTTCTGAATTTGTAATCCTCAGTATAGTGCTCTAAAGTCTCCTCCTATCTTTTCCTCCAATGTTCCTTCAATTCTGACTTCTCCTATTCTGTGCTCTAGGTCAGTGATGAGAGAAAAATTCTGCATCTGTACTGTCCAGTACGATAGCTACTAGCTACATGTGGCTCTTAAGCATTTGAAATGTGATTAGTGCAAAAAAGAAAGTTCATTTTTTCATATTTAGCTTTAATTAAAATGTACAAAGCCTGGGCCAACGACATAGCTCAGCAGTCTAAAGCGCCTTCTTAGGCAAGCTTAGGGACCACGGTTCTATCCTCAGCACCACATGCCACACCAGCCCCGCCCCCAGAGTGGGCTGAGCCAGCCACACACACACACACCCCTTATAATTCCAGCTACTTGGGAAAGTGAGGAGGATCATAAGTTTAATTTTTTTAAAAATTATTTAGTACAGGGTCTACAGGGTCTCACTACATAGATTGGACTCAGCGATCCTCCTGTTTTCAGCCTCCCAAGCACTGGGATTGCAGATGTACGCCCCCACACCCAGTCTAAGATCACAAGTTTAAGGTCAGCCTTGGCAATTTGTGAGACCCTATCTCAAGGTAAAATATAAAAAGGGATGGAGATGTAGCTCAGTGGAAGAGTACCTCTGGGTTCAGTCCCTAGTACTGCCAAACAAAGGGCACAAGTGGCCACATACAGACCGCCTCTGAAAGGTCCTGCCCAGTTGCTTGGCTTTTATGTACCTCAGTGCTGCTAATTTCAAGTTCTTATTTCTAGCCCTAATTTTTCTCTTGAGGTTGAGACTTATACTGATGGTATTTCCACTTGAATGTTGACTGAACCTCTCCAAAGTATGTTCCTCCCAAACACACACTTCCTTCAGTCTGCTCCGTTTCAGGAAGGCAGTGTGCTCTTCCAGGTGTTCAGGCCAAAAGCCTACGTGTCATGCCTGGTCCCTGTCTTCCACGCATTTCTCCATCCAGCCTGTAGAAAGCCTGCCTCGGAGCCTGCCCCTGCTCTCTCTCACAGCGTGCACTGCGATCGTAGCGCCTGCCACCGGCGTCTGCAGTAGAAGAATCAAGCACTTTTCTCACTTCCAGTCTTGCTTCCTCACACCCTGGCTTTTGCACCCCTGAGCCAGAGGGGTCCTGTGACACGTGAACTGCATGTCAGTCCTCTGTTCAGAGCTCTCCAGTGACTGCTCGGCACACCTTGCTCGGGCTCTTTTTCACCGGGGTGAAGAGACCCTGCTACAGCTTCCACCTCTTCCTAGTACTTCCCTCCTTGCTCAGGCAGGCTCCACGTGGACAGGATTTTGTTTCAATTCGGTTGCTGTTTTTCTGTCTCTTGTTCATTGCTGTGTCCACAGTGCCAGGAAAAGGAGCTACAAGAAACTTGAGTGCTTCTCAGGCTGGCTCAGTGTGAAAAAGACGAGCTTCTTTAAGAATCTGAACTCACGGCTGGGGGTTAGCTCGGTGGTCTGAGCACTGCCTGGCAAATGCAAGGACCCAGCTTCTATCCTAGGTACCCCGTGCCATGGTGCCAGCCGCATGCCAAGCTGGCCACCAAAACCAGCATGGTGGCACATGGCTGTGATCCCAGCGCTGGAGAGGCTGAGACAGGAAGATCACTACAAGTCCAGCTGTACTGCAAGACCCTGTGCCAAATAAATACATAAATAAAAGATTTTAGAAAAAAGCATCTGAATTCTTAAGCCTGCCTGCATACTGGTGTTGAATTTGATCTGAGAAACCAACCCATTAAATAATTTTGGGCTAGAAGTGCTTTTAGGGAGTAACAGCAGTAAGGCCAAGTAATGTGAAAAATGTGCATTTTAGGTATACATGATGATCACCAGACTTTAGAAATGAATTACATATGCCAGACATAGTGGCACACACCTATAATCCCAGCACTCAACAGGCAGAGGAAGGAGGGTCCCTAGAAGTTAAAGGCCAGTCTGAAGTATACAAGAGCCTGTCTAAAAAAAAAAGAACAGAATTATGTAGAGATGCTGCATGTGTATTCTTGAGGACCTTCTAGTTTATTTGAATTAAGTTTTGTGGGCTGGTGAGATGGCTCAGTGGTCTAAAGCACCTGCTTAGAACAAGCTTAGCAAAGCACAGAGACCGCGGTTCAATCCCCCAGCACCACAGCCAGCCCCGCCCCCTGGTGGGCTGAGCTGGCCATACACACACACAAATAAAAATTTAAAAAAATAAAAATAAAAATAATGAATTAAGTTTTGTTTTTACAAAGGTACACGCTCCAAGTTGGGACGTCGACACAGTATGGAAAATATGGAACTTATGAAGTTAACGCCAGAAAAGGTTGTTTTTATGTTTTAAACTTTTGTAAACTGTTATAGTTTTTAGTAACCTTTAAATAAAATGGCTTAAATAGGCTTTGCCCTTTATAAATATCACTTAAAATTTTGCTTATAAAAAGAATGTGTTAGCATCCTGCTGTGTGATTAAGAAAAAGATATATATGTATGTGTCCTTTGTAGATTCATAAAACACAGAAAGTTTTACAAAAATCTTGATATCATCATTGCTTCTGGGAAAAAAAGTGGGTGTTTGAGGTAGGCTGGAAGTACTTTGTTTACTAGTTGGAACTATTTGAATAACTTTTAAATGTTTTACCTAGTAAATGTATTACTTTTTAACAGAATAGGAGGAAGATCAAAAAGGGGTCAGGAAAGTTTTTTGAAAAGTATATAATGTAGGACTGGGGAGATCGCTCAGCAGTGTGAGCACCTGCCGGCAAGCACGAGGGACCGAGCTCGATCCCCAGTGCCACATGCCCTGCCTGCCATGGACCCCGGGGATGCCCTGTAGTCCCAGCCCTGGGGAGGCTGAAGACAGGAGGACCGCTCGGAGTCCAGGCTGCATAGTGAGACTCTATCCAATTTTTTTTTTAAAGTATATACCATAGTAACATTGCCAAGATGAATGAAATTTATAATTCAGAGGAGAGTACTCTTTCTGGCTGTTCTTTAAGAAGCAGTTTTTAACTGATGAAGAAGCTATATTTTACTTACAATGCATCCCTTTCAGGCTTTTGGGGGTGCCAACAGAAAGGACTTCAGAATTGGAAAAAGGGTTTTAGAGAACAAATAAAGGCTCTTTCTTCCACCTCCACTTAATTTAATTTTACATTGTTAAAACAGACTCTAGTTCCCTTGTGATGTTTTGTTTTGTTTTGCTTTGTTTTTTGAACCAGGGTCTCACTACATAGTTCACACTGATGTTGCACTCACTATATAGCCCAGGCTGGCCTTGAATTTGCAGCAGTCCGTCTGCCTCAGCCTCCTGAGGCTGGGATTACAGTCACCACATATAGCTTCCCTGTGATTTTTTTCTAAATGATTTTCATAAAATAGCCTCATTATAGCAACTTGAGAAAATCCAGCAAGGAAATTAAAAGATCAGTAATCTCACCATCCAGTAGTAACTATGATTAATTTTTTTGATACCTTTGTGGCATTTTAATTGTTATAGGTACTGTTCTGCCGCAAGTAGTTGTGTGTCAGGAGCAGCTGTACAGGTCTTTAAACAGCCTTCTGCTCTGTCCTGGTAACCAGCATACAGTTCTGTGACAGGGACACTTCTTGTGTGGATTTCCATTGGTCTTGGGGTCATGTCCAATATTTTAGCAGTTCTGCAGTTGTATGAACACTCTGGTAACTTCTGAAGGGCTTTGTGACTCGCCCAACATATATGGCTCTTATCTTCTGAGTAGTTTTCAAATATAAATTACTGAATTTGCAAATTATTTTTTTAGCACTCTGTAGCAATATTAGCTTTTGTTCTTTTAGTAGGGACCTACTAATGAGCAACAAAATTACTTCCTGTTTCCATGTACAAGGTACTAACAGGAAATTTATAAGTTGACAAGACACGACCCGGAAGTGCTCCAAGAGCCAAGTCTTATCTTCTTTTTTTAAGATTTTTTTTTTGTATTTCGGACAGGGTATACGGGGTATACAGAGTCTCACTACTAGATCAGACTCGTTGTGATCTGCCTGTTTACAGCCTCCCAAGTGCTGGGATTACTGGTGTGGGTACCAGCACACCCAGTCTCAAATGTTGTCTCAGCTTGCCCCAGGGGGAGGGCCAGCATGGCTGGCCTGGGTCGAACTCCCAGCCCCTACGTCTGCTAAGCAGGCACTTTAATCTGCTGAGCTATCTGGGCAGGTTTTATCCCTTTAAAATGTTGTAGTTATTGTGTTGATTCCTTTTGCTCATAGTAAGATTGCTATAGTTTTGCATTTTCTCCCTCTCAATGACTTACCCCTAGGGCACCGGGGAACCTGGAGCAAGGTGCTTCCTGGCAAGGAGGGTGGGTGTCAAGGCTTCGAGACTTGACTGAGTGCACCTGTCTTCCTGCTTAGTCTCATGTTTAGCAATTGCGCTGACAGTGGAAGTGGTGCAGAGTTGGGTGCGTGGCTCAGTGGTAGAGCTGGTGGTAGAATGCACGAAGCCTTGGTTCTGTCCCCTGCACTAAAAAGAAACAAAAGCCTTGACTTCTTGGTTGGAAAAATAACTTTCCTTCATAACTTTAAAGACATTGTTCCACTGTGTATTCATCCTTAAGTGTTTTGAGATGTCAAAATAACTAAAAATTTTATGTAACAGTCTTTTCAGATTTCTACTTGGGTGTTGGGTGCAATTCTCTGTTCTTACATCAAGAGCCATTTTCTTAGCCAGACATGATGGTGCATGCCTGCAATTCCAGCACTCTGGAAGGGAGGCTGCAGCCCAAGGATCCAGAGTTCAACTCTAGTCTAGGCAGTCTGGCAGCTTAGCAAGACCTTGCTTCAAAATGAAAAACGGGCTCAGGGGCCACTGGGGCTCAGGGGTCACTGGGGCAGAGGCCCGGTGCAGCTTCTGCTACTGTGTAACGTACACACACGCTTTTTCTCCTGCCGGTCAGCAGAAAATGAAATTCACTCTAGCAATTTCCCCTTATATGTGACAAGGAATACAAGGCTCATTAGTTCACTTATCAGTTATTATATACCGTGGACCTTTACGATTATTTGCAAATACGTAAAGCTCACCGTTAACACTGCCAGTCACTGAACTTTGTGCTGTGTGTTTCTCCCATGTAGTCTGTTGGAGAACTTCCTGCGTACTTAGGCCAGACTGAGCTCCGTACTGATTGGTGTTGCCTACTGAGAACTTAGTATTATCTGTATTGGTGAAAACAGTGTAGCTTTACCAACAGGAAAAACTGCTAGTGCTGTATTGGGTCTTACATGTTAATTTTTAGGGTTAAAAATTCTACATAAACCCTTAGATTTCCAGTTATAACTTCTTTAACTCACATCCAAAATAATACTTGGGCACCCTTTCTGTGTTTTATTTTTAAAGGAGTTTTGCCAGACGTTTATTTTGCCCAACATTTTTTTAAACTTTGAAGAGTGAAAACAGAAGTAAAAACAAATAGAAAAAATGGCAAGCAGGGTAACATAAAACAATACATAGGTTACAGATTTTCAAAACAGGAATAGCTAATTAACAATGGTTATATTATCTATTTTTATGTCAAATCTGTTGCTCAGATTAACAGATCTAGTTACACAAGATTGAACAAATAATTAAATATTAACACTTGCTTTCAAGAAATCTTAATTTTTTCCTTGTCTTTTTAAAATTTATTATAAAGAAAGTATAATAATCGATGAGACATTAGAAACACTACACATTTAGAAGACCAAGATGGGTCTCATTCGGCCACGGGTTTTCTATTACTGCTGTCTTCTATGTAGTTGCTCAGATCACAGGTATTAGCATACAGAGTTAGTCAAGGTGAAAATTCTAAACCTTAACTGCTATTTCCTATTCTTAAAAACAACTGTTTTGGGGGCTGGGAAGATGGCTCAGTGGCATAAGCGCCTGCCTGGCAAGCACAAGGTCCTAAGTTAGATCCCAGGTTTAAAAGAAAAAAAAAAAAGGTTTTGAGAATGAGAAACCCAGAGGATGCATTTGCTGTAAGCCTTTGGAAACAGGGTAAAAAAGAAAAGAACCTTCTGAAGAGATCTAAGGTCTGCCCCCACCGGAACAGCAAATGAGCAAAGCGTCAGGTCAGGATTTCAGGAGCCCAGAGTGGGGTTTGCTCATGTCTTGCTTTTCATCTATAATTTTGTAGGTACAAAACTGGAACAGTGAAATTCTTGCTAAACAAAAGCCTGTCATTGCCAAACCTTCTGCAAAGCTACTCTTTGTGAACAGACTAAAGGGGAAAAAATACAAAACCAATTCCTTCACTAAGGTTCTGCAGGATGCCAGTAATTCCACTGACCATCGAGTTCTGAGTGCTCAGAGGGTAAGTTTTAGTATTGTATTTGGAACACCTACTTAGTTTTCTTCTATTCTAAATTTTGAATATTTAGACACTTAAGATAAATATCTTTGTTATTAAAAGAATTCATCCGTATTTCCTGTTTTCTAGCCACACAGCTAAAGCCAAACATTATTCATACATAATTTGTTCTGTTGTTTTCTACAGTTATTACCACTTTGGATTTTGAGTCACTGTTGTTTGCAAAGATACTGCCATTTCACTGCAATGTCGCCCAGTAAAAACTACTCTCCATTCATCTAGAAAAAATTAAATGCAGAACAAATTAAGTTAAATCCAGAACAAATTAAATTCTGGTTAGGTGGATGTGCTGGTGCATACCTGTAATCCAAGCACGCTGGAAGGCTGAGGCAGGAAGATCGCCAAGTTTGAGCTCAGCCTACACAACTTAGCAAGACCTTGTATCAAAATTAAAAGTGAAAAAAAGGGCTGGCGATTAAACTCAGCGCAAAGGCCCTGGTTCAATTCCAAGAACCAGGGTCTCTTTCTCCTCCTCTTGATTTGGTGGTCCTGGGGACTAAGCCCATGGCCTTGTGCCGAGCTGTACCGCTCACTGTTTTATTCTTTGAGACACACTGCCCAGGCTGGCCTTGAGTTTGCCGCCCCGCCGCCTCAGCCCCCTCGTGCCCAGCTCTGTCCGGGAGTATTAGTGAAGTGCTTTCAGAATGAAGCATCTGCTGCTGTCAACTTCTGTTAACTGTATTGCTGAAACTGGAGTCATCAATTTTAAAATTTTTGATTAAGAAAACTGCATTTTATTAAATTTAATGTAAGAAATAAAAATACCATGAGCTTATGGATGAATATCAAGGAAATCACTAAGCTGGCTACGCTATGTTCTCATAAAAGGGTCAAAATAAGTTATCAAGAAGGCATTTTGTGTTATCAAGTCCCCCTTTTCAAGCAGTGAGAGCCTTTGTAAAACTTTATTTTTTAGTTTTTAGCTGGAGATTTCTGCTGGTCCTCTGGTCAGAATTCCATTTATGTCTGCACACCCCGCTAATATTCTTCCTTGATTTCTGTCACTGGTTTCTTACACAGCTTTACAGACTATGCGAGGCTAACAAATGGGAAAGTGACAGCGTGTGTATAAATGGCTCAGGAATATTTTGTAGCCTCGAGCAGAGGTGGGTCATATTGATGTGCACTAGTAGGAATTGACATTAACGGGCATAAAATACCTTCAGCCTGAAAATGCCCATTCACTAGGGCGCCGCCACTAATGCCTGGCGCTGAACTTTGCTCTAAAACTTAGTTAATGGCCCCTCCGGAAGGCCACACATTTTGGCTGTCCCTCTACTGAAATTGAGAAAAGAATTTTTTTTTAAGCTGCTTGTATTAAGCATCACATTCATTTTAGTTCTGAAGTCTTCCACATAAAAGGTGACAACCCATTCTCCCAAAAAGTATCTATTTATTTATAAAGTTTATGGATTTTCAGGATCTTCAAATCTTTTTTTGGACCCGCTCAGCCTGCCCTAAGGGTGGGGCTGGTGTGGCATGTGGGGCCAGGGATCAGATTGTGGTCCCCTGTGCCTGCGGAAGCTCACCTAAGCAGGGGCTTCAGACCACTGAGCCACCTTGCTGGCTTCTCGCACCCCCACTTTTTTTTTTTGTCTTTCTGAAATGGGTCTTGCTATGCAGTTCAGGCTGGCCTTGAGTTCACTTTCTAGCCCAGGCTGGTCTTGACCTTGCATGATCCTCCTGCCTCAGCCTCCTGACTACTGGGATACAGGCATGCACCACCACACTTGGCTGGATCTCCAAATCTTTAATGAAAATACTTGAACCCGGTGTGGTAAAAAGCGCCCTTCAGCACAGCATAAGTAGGAGGTTGAGGCAGGAGGATTGGAATTTCAAGCCAGCAAGACCCTGTCTCAAAATGAAATCTGAAAAGGTCTGGGTGCAGTGGTGAGCCCAGCACGCATGGGCCCTGGAATCAGTCTCCAGCACTGGAGAAAAACCAAAACAATGTTGGGAAGCACTCTGGAAAAGTATACTCGCTTTCTTTCTAATTTTTATAGTTCTTACAAAGATTAGTGTACTTAAATTCTTTTGTGGACTCTTAGAACTCAACTTTGAGCCTCAGGTGGATGTCTGGCTGGCTAGTGCAGCTGTGCTGCGCAGCGTTTCCACACACAGCGGACTGCCCCTGTGCAGGCCGCCCTGAGCCTGGCGGGCAGCCGTGTGCGCTGTCCCAGCTTGTGCAGGTGTGCTGATGGCCGCGTGACGCATTCGCAGCGGGTCACCCTTTTAGTGGACGTGGCCATGCTCGCAAAAAGTTATCTGGGCCGGCGAGCCAGCTCAGTGGTCTAAAGCACCTGCTTAGGCAGGCGCAGGGGACCCTGGTTCAATCCCCAGCACCACATGCCACCCCAAACCCACCCGCAGGGTGGGCTGAGCCAGCCAAAAAAAAGTATTCAGTAGTTACACCAGTTCTGTCCAGACTGAGCCCCGAGACTGGGAAATACAGCGGCCTCTCACTGAGCGCTGAGGTCACGTTCCAGACACCCTGCGCAAGTGAAAGCGCAGTAGTGACCGTATATTTATTCTAGTACTTGTGTATCTTAAGGCTTTATAAACCATTCCTGCACTCTTACAAACCTTTCCCACACTTTTAAACACTTCTAATATTCTTGGCCATTTTCTAAAGTCGTAAACCTACATAATTGTAACATACATCTACTGTGTGGTACAGTATGTATTCATCTGCTAAAGAAATACATACTGTAAGCAGTGTATTTTGATTTAATATTTTAATAACATTTTAATATATTTTTATTTTTATATTTTTAGGCAAAAATCATTAAAACCATAAATGCTACGCATATAAATATGTATACAGTACTGTACACCACAAAATCTTGTGATATAGTAAAAGATCTGGAATAGTTTTTTTTTTGAAACCTATGAAATAGTGTCTGAAAGTCGAACCCCAAAATAGCGAGGGACTACTATATAGGAACTGCAAGTTAAACTAACTAGAAATTCCCTCTTTTAGTTGAATTGGGTCATTACTTTATTTCCAGTATGCCACTTACATTCTTAGAAAATTAAATACTCATCTTTAGGGACTCCCTTTCCCTGGGGTGCATCTTGTTCATTAAGGATCTGAAACTAAGACTAGCGCATTGAAGTCGACTCAATCCTGTCAATGTTTAGAAAAACAGCGCAGAAACCGCGGGCGATGAGGGCTTCTTCGACCTGCTGAGCCGATTCCAAAGCAGCAGGATGGACGATCAGCGGTGCTGCTTCCAGGAGCAGCCCTGCCGTGCGGCCGCCCCCGCAGCTCCGGCCACTCCGCCGAGGGCCCCCCGCAAAGGTCAGTTCTCCTTGATTTCTACCTAAGACCTTTGTTCTCATCGCAGGAGACACAATAATGAGGCAGAAGCCAGGTGTGTGTAAAGCACCGGTGTTCCTACAGGTCACAAGGCTTCCGCAGGTCCTTGGAGTCTGTGTAGTCCCATGTGCGTTGTACTAACTGGCTCTATTCTTTGGGGTTGGGAAAATCTAACTTTAAAAATGATGGATTAAGGATATAGCTCAGTGGTAGAGCTCTTGCCTAGCAGGCACAAGACCTGGGGTTCAATCCCCAGCACTAAAAAAAAAAAAAAATGGAAAAAGAAAATGAGTTATATACGCCTTCTTCATGATTGTGTATCATATGTGGAATAAAAGAGAAAAGCCTTGACTGAAGAGGCGTACGCCTCCGACTCACACTGAAGCCAAGGCCTAAATCTTAAGCAGGGTCTAAAATCAGTGCTTTCCATTTTTCTGTTTAAGCCGCTGAGACTCCTAACCGTAGGACTGACTTGCCAGCAACACCCGACCCTCAGTTTAGTTAGCTAAGTAATTCCATCCAAGCAATGGACAAAAACGCTGTCCCACTCATCCTTGTCTGAGCAGCTTTGTTAAAGCTGACTGGCCTCGCCTGGGCTGCGGCTCGGGTGCACAGGCGACCTCATCTGCAGGGGCCTGAAGAACCCCGGGCTCCGTCCCGGCTGCCTGCCCGCCTGGTGGACTCTGTTGGGGGCAGGGCAGGGCGGGTGTTGGGCCGGTAGGGCTGTGTGTAGATGTGCACGAATGTCCTGGATGACTAGCTCGTTTTATCTGTAGCACCACCAGTCCCTGTGGTGTCCCCCAACACGGAAGAATTCTTAGACCTTCTCGCCAGCTCGCAGAGCCGCCGTCTGGACGACCAGAGAGCCAGTGTCAGTAACTTGCCAGGGCTGCGCTGGACAAACAACAACAGGCAGTCAGTACTTGGCCACCTGAGGGCGAAGGACAGCAAAGAGCCAGATGAGGACTTCTTCGATGTCCTTGTCAGGTGTCAGGTACGTGCAGTTCTTGGGCTTTGTGTCAGGAAGCCCTGAGCACAGGACTTACAATCTTGCTGCTTTTAAAAGGATATTAAATTTTGATGGGGCCAGGGAGATGGCTCAGTGGAATAAGTGCTTCCCTGGCAAGCACAGGGGCCTGAGTTCAATGCCTGGTTCTGCAAAAAAAAAAAAAAAAAAAAAATTTTGATGGTAGATTTATAAATATATATATATGCACATATAAATAAATGCATTGCATGTATTTTTTTTTTTAATTTGTGTGTGTGTGTGTGTGGCCAGCTCAGCCCACCAGGGGGCGGGGCTGGCTGGCATGTGCTGGGGGATTGAACCGCCGTCCCTTTGCTTTGCCAAGCTTGTTCTAAGTAGGTGCTTTAGACCACTGAGCCATCTCACCCGCGCCTACATGTATGGTTTGACCAAAAAATGTTTAAAAAATTATTGCGGTAAGACACATTTATGAGATGTGATTTTTAAAATCTTGAGACAGGCTCTTACTCTATAGCCCAGGCTGGTCTTGAACTCATGGTAGCCCTCCTGCCACAGCCTCCCCAGTGGTAGGATCACAGGTATGCACCACCAGGCCTGGCATGAGATGTCATTTTTAAAAATATGGGATATAGGGGCTGGAGAGATGGCTCAGTGGTCTAAAGCACCTACTTGGAACAAGCTTGGCAAAGCACAGGGACGGTGGTTCAATCCCCCAGCACCACATGCCAGCCAGCCGCGCCCCCTGGTGGGCTGAGCTGGCCACACACACAATAAATGTTAAAATAAAAAAAAAATTAAAAAAAAAAAATATGGGATATAGCCTAGTGGCAAAGCACCTTCTTGGAAAGCACAAAGTCCTGAGTTTGATTTCCAGTACGGGGTGGCGTATATATCGTGAATGCCACTGCCACACTCCACCTGATGAAAGGGCAGGCTCCTAAAAACGTAAGGTGTGCCTTCACCCACTTTATTTACTGGATCCGGCATTATGCAACTTCTAGCTTTTCCTAAAGTCAAACATTTTGAATCAATTCAAGACACTGAAACAGCCAGGACAGCACAACTGAAGACTTGCTGAACTGCTTCAGAAAGTGGCAAGAATGACAGGATAAGTGTGTTTGAACCGAGGAAAAGTATTTTGAAAGGGATTAATAATTCTTAAAACTTCAAACACTCAGCGTTCTTTGATACCACGCGCTAGGCATAGAGGTAGTTATATACACACACAGGGAAGGCAAAGTCAGTCCATAACTGCTATGAAAAAATTAAGGGGGAAGGGGTGACAGGTAGTGGGCAATCGTGAGTGGTCTGCTTTAGATAGAGTGGTTGGAGAACCCCCTTCTGGGTTGCAGTTGAAACAGGTTGGAATGAAGCAAAGCAGCAGCCACGTCAGTATTTAGGGAACGAGTATTCCAGGCAGAAGCGGCATAGTGCAGCAGCTTCCAGGGTAACCGGGCCCGAGAGCACTTGGGCTCGCGAGGCCATGACCACAGCTTGGGTTCCAGCGTGTTAGGACGCCACGGTGCATTGTGCTAGACCGTGCTGGGTACCCGTTAGGTCGGGCGGCAGCTGTGCTGGTACAGAGACCAGCGAGGAGGCGCGGGTGGGCAGGTGGTGGCCGGAGTCCGGGTAGAAGGTGGGTACAGGACCCAGTCAGCAGCCGAAGGGGGGCGAGGGAGAGCGCACGGAGGGCTTCCGTCTTTGTGGTCTGAATAATAGGGCGGATGGATGTGGACAGAGACTAGAGAAAGTCTGGGGAGGAAAAGCAAGTGTAAAATGTATTAAATGAGATACTCAATTAGATATGAGATGGAGAGGTTGAGAAATTATAGACTAGCGCAACGCAAAAATAAGCTTATAAGGGAGCCATCGGCACATGGCGTCGAAGCTCTAGGAGGAGGCTACACCCAAAAGGCTGAAAGACTGGCAGTGTCTGTGTAGTGACTCTTGAGTCACCAAATGAAGTTCTGGGAACTCGGCCTATAATTGTTGCAGATGTACATAAGATACGTGGAGAAAGCTGAGCATCCACCCAGGCCTGTGTCCGGGCACTGTGGGAGGCAGCGGCAGGAGCGCGGCAAATTAGAGCCCAGCTTGGAAGCTTAACTTAATGAGAGCCTGTCTCAAGATTTCAGAAAAGGGCTGGAGAGATGGCTCAGTGGTCTAAAGCACCTACTTAGAACAAGCTTAGCAAAGCACAGGGACCGCGGTTCAATCCCCAGCACCACATGCCAGCCAGCCCCGCCCCGTGGTGGGCTGAGCTGGCCACACACACACACACAAATAAAAATAAAAATAAAGATTTCAAAAAAAAGGGCCAGCGAGAGAGCTCAGAGGACTAACATGCCTGCTTAGGCAAGCGCAGGGGCCACGGTTCAATCCCGGGCACCACATGCCACACCGGCCCTGCCCCCGGGCCACAGAATCCAGACATGGTGACATACGCCTGGAATCCCAGTGCTGGGAAGGCTGAAAGGAGGAGGATCACTGAGTCCGAGCTGTGTAGTGAGACCCTGCAACCACCAAACACATTAAAAAAAGATTTCAAAAAAGGCCTGAGGATGTACTTAGTATAAAGGCCTTGGGCTCAATCCAGTACTGCCAAGAAAAATAAGAAATTTTATCAGGTGTGTGGTGACACAAACCTGTAATGCCAGTACTTGGGAGGCTGATGCAGAAGGATCGTAAATTTGAAACCAGCCATGACTGAGATCTGTCTCGAAAAAAAATAAAGCCATGGTTTTATGTTGAGCTGTGGGGGACTCAGGTCAACAATTTCTGACATTGCCAGTGAAGCAGAAGCCCCAATACTATTATGGACTACTGGACTTTTAGAATATTTTGCTGAGTTTACACACCTATAATATTCAAATGACGGAACAAGGGGATACAGATGAATGTCCATTTTGTATCTGTGTATTCAAAATGGTTAGGATAGTTACATTCTCTTAATGAATAGAGGGATTTGTTCTAATAGAGTTTGTAAATAGGTTATCATGTCTGCATCCTGTACAGCAAATAACCACTAGGAAGAATGTATGCAGTGTGTTAATTATTGAAACTGTCCTACCAATTTGGTTTGAAACTGTCTCATTGCTATTTATCAATAAAATTATGAAAGAAAAAAAAAAAAAGGAGCTGGTCATGGTGGTGCACGCCTGTAATCCCAGCACTTGGGAGGCTGAGTGAGCTCAAGGGCAGCCTGAACCACATAAGAAGACTGTCTCACAAAGACAAAAAAATATAAATAAAATTAAAAAGAAACTGGAAAAAGAAAAAAATTTTAAAAATAGACCCAGGCATGTAATTCAGTGGTGGGGTTCTATCCCCCAGTATTGCAGAAATAAGGAACTTGTGCATCAGAAGATGTTAACAGAATAGGCAACCCGCAGAAAATACTTGGAAATGGCCCGCCAGAGGATATCTAGAATATATGGAGAACTCATAAAACTGAACAACAACAGTCAGACTCAGCAGGGGCAAAGTCCCTCAACAGACGCTTCTCCAGAGCATGAGGGTCGGGCGTGACTGTGAGAACAAGAGGAGGAGGGGAGAGAAGGGCTGAGAAGAGGCAGGAGCAGCCCAAGACTGAAGGGCCCAATCGCTGGGCTGCGTGGAGCCACCGCAGTGAAGAACTCTGCCAGGAGGGCTGCAGGGCCAGCGGGCGTGGGGCAGGCAGGTGCTTCCTTGGCACAGTGCCTGGCAGCGTCGTGGGTACCAGCTGTCAGCTGTCGCTCTTGAGCTGTCGTATTAAGAACTGCAGACTTTAACCAGTAACTTTTCTGACGTACTATTACGGAAATCATAAGATTAGAACTTGAAAGAATCAGTCTGGGCTGTTTTCCTTAGCAGATTTACCTCCCTGTAGAGGGGCAAAGAGGAAACACTTGTGGCTTAAACCTGTGGTTTCTGCACTGCAGCTCTGCCCCGCAGCAGGACAGCGGCCAGCTGGCTGGTGGTGAGCAGGAACCGAGGAGGGCGCTTTCAGCAGCAGGGGCGCACCCCTGCAGTCCCACCCCCAGGGCTGGGGCAGGGGGCTCACCTGGAGTTTGAGCAAAATGAGTTCAAGGCCAGAGGCACAGCAAAACCCTCAGACCAAAAAAAAGTAGGTAGGGTCACAGTTGCTGTCTCCTGTGGCCTGAAGGTAGCACGACCGAGACTTCACGTAGAAGACAGTTTCTAGAGATTTGACAAAGTACATGGCTGGTGCCTGTTAGACTAAGATTGTAATTCTTGACCTGTCTTTTAGTGAGACACGGAGACTCCAGATTATTTCTTGTGACCAATTATGACTGGAGTAGTATGTGTGATACACTAAGCCCAGAGCCTGGCCATGGTTCTGGAGATACATTCTCATTTTCTACAACATTGTAAAGAGAAAGTTCTGTTGTTTCAGGTCTAAACATTAAATTTCTAAAAACACAGAAATGTAGAAAACACTTTCTACTTACCAGTGACATACACCTTGGTGTTTTCCTTCCCTAACGCCATTTGTATTTTAACCTGGCTCTTCCATTCCAGGGGTCCAGATTAGATGACCAAAGATGTGCTCCTCCGCCTGCTGCCACGAAGGGTCCAACAGTACCAGACGAAGACTTTTTTAGCCTAATACTGCGGTCTCAGGCCAAAAGAATGGATGAACAGAGAGTTCTTTTACAAAGAGATCCAAACAGAGACACTGACTTTGGGCTAAAGGACCTTTTGCAAAGTAATGCTTTGTTGGAATTTAAAAATTCAGGAAAATAATCACCAAACCACTAGGTACTATGGCTATTTTAAAACTTCATTACCTTTCAGAGTACTGCAGGGAAATTTGATCTTTTCCTAGAAAGGACGTATACAGCTTGAAATGACATCCGAACGAGGAAAGTGTGTGAGCTGCCGCAGGCGTAGCAGGGAGGCGCCTGCGTGCTCTCGCTTGCTGCAGCGGTGGGCGTGCGAGGTGCAGCTGTCCCGCAGCGACTGCCTGGGACTGTGTTCTTTTGCAACTGTACAGTGTTTGTAAGAGCAGGAATTTAAATGGATCCTAGACTAGAATTTAAGCCTCTTGCTGAGGTAATTTTTAAAACTTTCCAATGACAATGGCATTTTTAATACCTAATCTTGGATTTAGTGGGAAATAACACTTAAGTAAAAATATTGTACTTGACCAATGTAAAAAATACAGTCTTACTAAAAAAAAAAAAAAAAAAAAAGATTCTTTTTCCTCTAAGAAAATCTGTTTTCAGTGTATTTTTAGCCAGGGCCAGTAGAAAAGAAACTATTAAGAAATAAACTTCTTTTAGCATGTTCAGGCTATTTGTGTTTTCTTACATAATACAAACTTTTATAGGACCTAATACTAAAAAAGAAAACCTGTGGTTTGGGCCACAAAAATAAGGCATGGCAGGTAATGACTAGGACATCAGTTTGGCCGCATCCGAAGGTAGCCGACAGAGGTCCCTACCCGGGGACAGGCGGCGTGCGTGCAGGCGGGCAGCCTGGAGGCTCCACGCGGGGACCACCCCCACCCCCATTTGCTCAGCTCTGCTTGGGCGACTGCAGAGCTCAGGTGCGCCTGCTTCTCTCGCAGGTAATTCAGATGGTTCTGGTGGGCAAAAGTGAGGCCCACTCCTGTCAGTGGTTTTTTAAAAGTTACACATCCACAGCCTGGAGATATATTAAGGACTCAGCAAAAAAACAATAAAATAATTGCTTTAAGAGCACATAAGCTGGCGGGCGGCTTTAGTCAGGGGGAGGTCCGAGTTCAGGCCAGCACACACCCGCCCCGGGGGCCCAACCACATGCATTTTCCCAGCAGCACAGATCATGCTTTATGTTATACATAAGGTAGAACGTCATACCCGTGTGGTGGTACACACCTAGACCCCACCCGAAGGCTGAGGCAGGAGGATCACTGCGCCATCGAGGGCAGCCGGGGCCACACGGCGAGTGCAAGGCAAGCCCAGAGCACACGGCAACACCCTGTCTCAAGAGAGAAGACAGACTGTGTGTGTGTGTGTGTGTGCGCACGCGCTTTATGGGGCTTTTGTAAGAAAACTAAGCAAAGGCAGCACAGCCACAATAATGTGAAGGTTTATTCTGTGTGTACAGCGGTTCTTACCTCTTGTAAACATTCAACATTGTCTATTCCATTTTAAAAGTGTTTTTAACAACTGTTTGTCCCCATTCTGATTTTCTTAAAAGCACTTTAACTACAAGCCTTAAGTTAGCGGCAAGTGAGGGCCAGATAAATAGCTCAGGGGAATAAGTGCTTCCCCGGCAAGCACAAGGGCCTGAGTTCAATCCCCGGTTCTGCCAGAAACTTAAAGAAAAGGCGGCAAGTATGGCCAGGCAGTGGACAAGTGTCATCGCTCCTCTCGAGCAGACGGCCCTCACGCGTTGGCCTGTTCAGCCAGGTCCTCCCTGCACTGTACTCATGCAGCGGGAGCATGACGCCTCCCTAGCCGCTAAGGTGGCTTCCCTCCCCAAACGGGCATCTGTAACAAAAGGATACACACATGACGTTTTCAGTGTTTGTAAAAATGATTCACTTGGGGACTGAAAGTGGTCAGGAGTGCAAGAAGCGTGACCTCTCCCCTCTCAGCGACAGTGTCACCTGAGGCATGCGCTTCTCCTGAGGAGGGGACAGGCCCCCTGGCAGCGCGAGTCCAGGCTCTGAGGCCTGGGCAGACGTCCGCACGTCTCCACACCGCAGGCCGCATTTCATTCACCCACTTGTTAGCCGCCTGCTGTGTGGTATAAAAAATCTTTTTGTATTTCTTAGATGAAAACGATTAGCTTTCAGATGTAATACTAAACAGATTTACAGTACCGAACTAGAAAATGTTAGCAACAGGTAAAACTGCGTCGCCTCTAAGACTCCTGGAGGAGGCCAGGGGATGGCTTAGTGGAATAAGCCCTTCCCTGGCAAGTGCAAGGGTCTGAGTTCAAACCCTGGTTCCACCAAAAAAAAAAAAAAAACTTGTGGGGCCCAGTAGGGATATTCTGCATTTCACGTTAAAAATATCAAAAAGCAACTACTTTGAAATTTTCTTTTGAGAAATACCTCCTTGAAAATTTAAGATTTAATTCTTGATAAATGCCATTTCTAGAAGTCACTTAAGGGTAAATATAACTTCAGTGTGAATACGGTTAAAACAGAGGACACCTGAACATGTGTGAAGCCTGCAAGCTAGAGACATACACAAAATTCATAAAGTGCTTTTTAAAAAAGGTTTAAAATGATTTTTTTGAGACAAGATCTCACTACATAGCCCATGCTGGCATCAAACTAACAGCAGTCCTCCTGCCTCAGCCTCCAAGGACACTTGTTAAACTCAGGGAAACGAGCCAGGTGTGGCAGTGCACACCGCCAATCCCACTGCTCGGGAGGCAGATGATGCGCTGTGGCCAGGGTGGGCAGCACACACGGCAAGCCCCCGGCCTGCGGGCCGAGCCCACAGAGCAAGACCCTGTCTCAAAACTGCAAAACCAAGAAAACTGACTTTAACTGCTGACTCAAAATTTCTGACTGACTTACAGTAATGAAAATACCCTATTCTGCTTTCCTACAATGTTCTTTTCTAGGTACTGCTCTGTAAACTTACATCATATAGCCAAGACGACACGCTCTGTCCTTAGCAAGCTACAGTAATGCCCAACAGTGTCAACCGCTAGGACTCTGCGCAGAAAGGAAGTTTACCAAGCCTGTCGGGTTCACGGGTGGGGAAAGAACAGCCGCTCGCTCCCCCTCCAAGGGTGCCGACCTCGCACCACGCGCGGCTCGACCTACTCTACACCCCCGGGGTCATCTTCAGCCTGCAGCCTGGAAGGCGAGGCAGCAGGGCCAGCCGCAGCCGCGATCCGTGCGGGCTAGCCAAGGAGACTGCGGGGTCCGGCCTGCACCCGGCGCCCTGGCCAGGACGATCCTGGGGGCCAAAGTGGGCGCCACGGGACTCGACCAGGGACACACCTGGCTGCCTGCAAATGAAGGTTCTTCTTCAGCGTCCCCTAAGTCAATCACCTTAATTATCTAATGAGTATTGCCAGAATATTCGTTTTAAAAAGTAAATTCCATGAGACCCTGTTCCAAAATTAATACTTCAAAACTTTAAGATCTTAAAAAGATGAAATAGCTTACATACATGTGTACATATGTACGGACATACGTACATATGTACATACATACATGTGTTCATTAATTCTGATTGTCAGTAAACTGGCACCTTTGTCGCAAACACCAGAATGTAGGTGGGGAAGAGCGAACAGTCACTGAGAATATACTTCACGAGCTGCGGCCCTGGCATCGCCCTAGCCGCACGGGCTGCTGACCGGATCCCTTCCACATGCTGGGCCGCCATCAGCTTCGCTCTTCAGCGGGGCCTCTTCCACGCCGGGGGGCCTTGCAGGGGCTCCCGAGACCACTGCGACAGGGGCTGGCTTGGAAGGCTGCACGCTTTCGCCTGCGACCCCACCAGTGTCCCCGGGCTTTGTATCCGGAACAGGCGATCTACGCTGTAAGGACAGAGGTACGGCCTTACTACTTACACCGCACAGCAGAGGCCGAGCAGCCACACAGACCTGGCCGGTCCTACTGCGCAAGCTGCGGACCCTGCCACGTCCCGGCTCAGGGCTGCACTGCAAGCACAGAGGCCTCACAGAACTGTGCACGGAGGGGCGCAGACATCCCGGGGGGCGCAGCGACCCAGCTAGGGGTGTCAGGAGGACTGGTCCCCAGTGCCCGATATGCAGGAAAGCATTCTAGGCCGAAGACAGCAAGCACAGTCCTAAACTTAAGAACAGCCCGACCCTGTGCCTGACTGAGGGCAGCAGGAGTGACTGGAAGGTGGCAGACGTGGGGCAGGGAAGGCTGCCCTGTAAATGAGACTGAAAGTTACTGGAGTGGTTCTGAGGTCAGTGGCAGGAGCCATTACTGTAAAGCTGGCGGGAGCAGCCACAAGGGTTCTAGATATATACAGATAGGTTGACTTTTTGAAGAAAGTCCACGGCAAGATTTTATAAATCTCATTTTACTTCTGAGGAAACTGAACTAACTTCTGACCAAGAGGAGGAAGGGACAGCAACTAAGTATCCCACCAGTGATACAATTAACAGTGACGGGAAGAAAGGCAATCAAAAGCTCTGTGAGGGCTGGCGAGACAGCTCAGCGGACTAAGCACAGCACAGGCAAGAGCGGGAACCAGCGCTCAATCCCCAGCACCACATGCCTCGCCGGCCCCACCCCGGGCGCGCTGAGCGTGGTGGCGCACACGTCTGTAATCCCGTCACGAGTTCAAGCTCTGTAGTGAGACCCTGTATTTTAGGCCTAGCACACAGGGACAGCAAAATAAAGCAGTCACTGACTTACACTGGGTGCCACCTTGGGGTGCTCTTGTGCCTCTGTGTCTGGTAAGTCACACGCCCGGAGCACCTCGGAGCTCCTATGGCTGCTAGGAAATCTGCAGGCAGGGTCTTTCTCCCTCACATCATCTCTTCTACACTCACGCATGTTGTCACCAGGGCCTTGCTCTATGGAGCCACGATGGCCCCTGTAACAGAAGCCTGCATCCCCTGCTCCGCCACAGTCACCGAGTGCCTTGGGCCACGTCCGCTCACCCGGCTCCAGGGCCTGCGGGGGTCCCCTCTCAGGACCCCCTATATGTCTCATCACACTGACTGATTTTCCAGCACCGTAACAGAAACTCTGTAAGGAAGAGAAACACATCCTGTGAGGACATGAGAGCTGACATAATGGAATGACGAGGTACTATATTCAGTATGACAACATTATCTAATATCTATAGACACAACTACATTAATTTCACTTTTTTTCAAGAGACCTTTAATACAGGCTAGAGTAGCCAGTAAAACTGAATAAAGCACTCAGTATTAAGTACACATTTCAGTCCATTAGACACATTCTGACTGAATTTACACCATCAGCGCAGAATGAGGCCTAGAAGTTTAAATACAAAGTGCTACTTGATAACTACCTGTATGCTTCTATATTCAATCCAAAGAAACTAAATGCAATTGCATGTCACTATGTAAATATTTTCCAGTAGGTTTATTTACAAATATGAATTTGGCTTAAACTACATATAAAGTTCACCAGCTTTTGACTCACATCGTAGGATAAACTAGGCAGCAGTTCTCAAAGTGTGGCCCAGGGAGCCCCGAGGGGAACTGCCGAGAGGCTTTCACGAAATCTCTGAGGCGCAGACATTTTCTATTGTAACCCTGCATTGTCCTCCGCTGTCCTCTCCTGAGTGTGCAGTGGAGAGGTTCGGGGCGAGGGTGAGACCCCCCTTCTGACCGCCCACAGCGTGTGGGTTTATGTGAACTTGTAATTTCCAACTGTTTTAATTCCTACTAATATGGTAAATATCAATAAATACAGCCCCACAAACAGGAGCTCTTCGTGGTCTATTTTTAAGAACGCATACTTGGGAGGCCGAGGCAAGGGAAGTACTTAAGTCTATGAGTTCAAGGCCAGCTTGAGTAACACTCTGTCTCTTTAATTAAAGAAAAAAAAAAAAAGACATGCAAAAGTCCTAGGAACAAAAAGTAGAAAATCTCTCAGCTAGAGTCTACTATTGAAGACAGAAGCAACTTCGGTCAGAATAGAACTCTCTAGAAAGCAAATGAAACAGGAAGTTACACAGCTTTTGCTCATAAGTTTAGGGACCAAATTACTGCTACGGAACTAGTATCACCTAATAAAACCTTACCTCATAGCCACCAAATTCTGTAACCACAATCCAGAAGACAAAACCAAAGAAAAAGACACTTTCAGGGTGAACAGAACAGTGAACTTCACCCTGACAGGAGAACTTCCCACAGCAAATCTGAGTTCTTCTTGGCCTGTAACAAGCTCTTTTTGGAGTACTGACTCAAAAGTCAACAACAAAAACGCTGGGCAGAGAGTGAGCAGCCCCCATGGCGAATGCAACTCGAGGCCCCCGGGCAGTGTCTCAGCGTGCCCTCCCCCCAGCCCTGCCCCCAGTCCTCGTCCTCCCTCCCGGCCCTCCCTGAGTCTGCTCCAGCCCAGGCTCTTTCCTCTTCCGTGAGCCACGATGAGAAATCCACTGGCCTGTGGAGCGCTACGCTTCTGGTAGTGTCACCAGGTTTATTTTTATTTTTGTAAGTATTTAGTACAGATTCTACAGGGTCTCACTACACAGAGTGGACTCAGTGGTCCTCCTGTTTTGAGCCTCCCAAGCACTGGGATTACGGGCACGTGCCACCCGTCCAGTCTCACTGCCATCTCAGCAAGCCCCAGGGGCAGGGCCAGCATGGTATGCGGTGCCGGGGATCAAACCTCGGTCCTTGCGCCTGCCTACGCAGACCCTTTGGTCTGCTGAGCTATCTGGCTGGCCCCAGGCACCAATTTTAAAATTACCTGCTTCTTCCCTGTAAGAATCTTTTTGGTTTACATCTTGTACTGAGTACTTTGAAGATAACAAACAGTTCAGTAACAATTGCTATTTTCTTCCTATGTGGTCATGAAAATTTTTCATATAATAAGAAAAAACATTTAAGAAGCTAAGCCACCGCTGTGACACCTACACGTGAGAAGCACTTCCCTGATCACAGGAGTACGCATGGAAGTATGAATATTTACTGCTTAAAAGTCACCTCAGTTGGAAGCATGATTTACTGTGATGCACAACAGCAAAGCAGCCCAAGCCTCTGCGAATCGCCCTTCTGTGTGCAAATCCTGCGGCCAGCGGCCCCCGCACTAACCAGGACAGCCAGGGCCAGGATCACCAGCACCGGAATCTGAAGCAGCACCGGGATCTCCTTCATGAGCGCCTTAATGAATTCACCAGTCCCTTTTCCAACGTGCTTTAACGGCTCCGTTACAAAGTTGGTGAATGTAACTGCCAGTGCCTAGAAAAGATAAAAGCAGGCTCATTTTTTTCCTCAAAGGACTGAGATAAGAAGAAGCCCAAAGTTACTGTGTTCAGGCTGAAATTACGAAAATAACTGTGTGATGGAATTTTTTTTCTATGACAAGGATTAAAAAAACTCTTAAGACACTTTACAAATGCAAAGGATTTTTAATATACTGTATATAAGTAACTTACAAAACACATTCTGTACCTTAGTGGGCGGAATCAACCAAATAGGGTTGACTAATAAGAGCTCATAGTACTTTTGGCATGGGTCATCCTTGTAGGTCCATGAACTTCTGAGCCATTCTATTCAGAGAAATAAAGCATCGAATCAAGTTTCATAAGATGCACTTCATTCCCAAGTAGCATAAATTGGGTTTGGTCGTTCCTGTCTATTCACCAATTTTTTATTTATTTATTTATTTTTTTCAAAATTTTCTTGATAAACAGATAGCAATGAGACAGTTTCAAATCAAATCGGAAGGACAGTTTCAACAAATAATACACTGCATATATTCTTCTTAGTGGTTAACTGCTGAACAAGATGCGGACTTGAGATCCTATTTACAAACACCATTAGAACAAATCATTCTATTCATTAAGAGAATGCAACTATATATCTAT